GAGCTTCATTTAGAGTTTGTAGGGAGAACGGCACAAAGCAAAATATCTCAATTCCAGGAAAAAAGAACTGATTTTCCAATCAGATTAAATGGAAGTTTGCTTCAGTCTGCTGAGCTTGGTGTTTTGCTTCCCTCAGACTATACAGTCTCTGGAGGAAGCCGAATTGACCACACTTACATATATGTGAGCTCAGATTTATGACCCTGTCAGCAGAGAGACTTGGTACAATTGGCTTGATACTTCCCTAGCATGGGATATTGAAAGATGCTGTGAAAAAACTTATATTACTGTGTGAATTTGATCAGAAAATGATGGCTCAGGGTTGCCTTTTTCATACAATGTTTGTAAGCCTCTGAGTCTCTTGCTTGGCGAGTCAGGATTAATTCAAATTGAACCCTAGATCCAGACAGCCCCAAACTTTGGAGTATTCAAAATCTAGATCACTGCAATATCGGCCCATCTCTCATTAGGAGTGTAAGCATGGAGGCCAAAGAAGGGAGATTGTGTTCTTAAGTTACATAAAGGTGGCATAAATATTAAAAAGATTGCTTTTTGCAGAATTGTTCAATGTAGAATAAATTACTTACATATATAATTAATTGCTTTAAATAAGCATTCTGCAGAATCTTTCATAGATAAATTCTTATTCAGATGGATTCCAAGGGAATTAAGTATCAAACTGAGCATAGCAACAGTTCGAACGGGGACTTATTCCTGTTTGCTATAATTTCTTTAATGGGAATCCTAGGGGGCTACACTTCTCTGCTCTTAAATTTGTGGACTAGAGTTTTCCTAATTAAAAAGGATTATACAGTTCTTCCCCCCTCCCCATATATAATCTTAATCTCTTCTGTTGATGAAGTGTAGTAGTAATGAGGAGATTCATACAACAAAACTAGGAGCCTGAATGTGCATGGACAAATTGTTTCTCAAACCTGGAGACAGGGCTAGGAGTGCTAAATGTTAATATTTTTCTGGATATTAATTTTGTTGTGCATGGGTCTGATAAACTTTTTAGTTAGCACCATGCATCCCTGTGAAGAGAGCAAGGGGACTCTTTTCTTAACTAAGTTAGACCTAGTAGTACTTTTGCTTCACTTCTTATTCGTAACAAACAGTCTCCACTAATGGCTGTTTATACTTCATTTATTGTGCTTTTTCCTCCAAATGTTGCCAGCATTCCTAGTCTCAAGTCATGGGTTATATCCTTAGAAAATCTGTTAGGTCGTCATTTTGAGAATATCCATTAAGACAAGATGGAGATACCAGCACTGGGGCTGTCTTTTTAACAGGGGCGTGTTGTACTCATTTCAGATGCTTCAGGATAAATACACGAGCTACCAAGATCAATGTTTTTTATTTACCCGCAACTTAGATCAATTATTTGGCATCTGTTTGGTAAGTTTAATGTAATAGATGTAATTTAAATCACAGAACCAATTAAATTGTGTACACTGTAAGTAAGAGGAACTTATTATTTAATCTGCACTATTTACACTGTGAGTGCAAATTATTTTTACGGTAATATGATACGAGCATCCTGGTAGGCCATAGAACCATAGAAATGTAGGTCTGGAAGGGACCTTGAGTGGTCATCTAATCCATCCCCCTGTGCTCAGGCAGGACCTAGTATACCTAGACCATCCTTGGCAAGTCTAACTGGTTGTCTAACCAGTTCTTAAAAACTTACAGTGACGAGGATTCCACAACCTCCCTTATTCCAGTGCTTAACTACCCTTAGGCCTGGTCTACACTAACCCCCCAATTCGAACTAAGGTACGCAACTTCAGCTACGTGAATAACGTAGCTGAAGTCGACGTACCTTAGTTCGAACCTACCGTGGTCCAGACGCGGCAGGCAGGCTCCCCCGTCGACTCCGCGTACTCCTCGCGCCGAGCAGGATTACCGGAGTCGACGGCGAGCACTTCTCGGTTCGATTTATCACGTCCAGACAAGACGCGATAAATCGAACCCAGAAGTTCGATTGCCTGCCGCCGAACCAGCGCGTAAGTATAGACAAGCCCTTATAGTTGGAAAGTTTCCTAATATCTACTCTAAATCTCCTTTGCTGCAGATTAAGTCACTTGCTTCTTTGTTCTACTTTCAGTGGACATGGAGAACAGTTGATCACCGTCCTCTTTTATAATAGTTCTTACCATATTTGAAGACTTATCAGTCCCTCTTCTTCTCGGTCTTCTTTTCTTAGCACTAAATATATCCAGTTTTTTTAACCTTTCCTCATAGGTCAAGTTTTCTAAACTTTTTATCATTTTACTCTGTGCGTACTGCAGAATTTTAGGGGGAAAATTCACACCAGTGCTACCTCCTTGTTAGTTACACTGGAATGGGTGTAATTAACAAGCCCCTAATGTAGACAAAGTTTTATAGTAGGAGGTTCTGGGAGTATGAGTTTGTAGCAAACAGAAGGAGCCTGTGCTCCAGAGTATAAATTGGTGAAATTGTAAAGTTATTTATAGTGATCTAATAGTAATACCTCGCTTTTATGTAGTGCTTTGCATCAGTAGTTCTCAGAGTGCTTTATAAAAGAGATAATCATCCCCATTTTACAGATGGGGGGAAGTGGAGACACAGAGGTTAAGTAACTTACCCAAGGTCACCCAGCAAGCCAATGGCAGAACTGGGAATGGAAACAGAGTCTCCTGAATCCCAGTCTAGTGCTCTATTCACTAGGCTACACAACCATAATGATATGCAAAGATACTTCGGGAGAGTATACACTGAGCAGTAACACTATAATACATGGCATGATGTTAGAAAAAGCAAAACAACATAAAAGATTGTGTCTGAGTGTCTTTGCAAGTTATGGCATTAGCTGATGATTTCAAATAACTTGATAATTTAACCAGCTTCAATCTCTGCATTATGGGACACTTCATATCCTTGTACAAACCCAGATGCTCCTTCTGCCTGTATCTAAAACCATCCCACCATTTCTTGAACTGAAAGTTCACACTCTGTCTCATTAGCAGTGACATCTAGTATACATTAAATACAAAGTTTGTCTTACTTTACAGCATAAGTAAGCTGGTTTAGAATTCTTATCAGTTAAAACTAAAATTTTCCCCAAAATTGTACACAATGTACGGGTGTAAAGAGGGGCTGTGGTATAGCAAAGTCTGAAGCAAGATATTTATTCTTGGCCTTCAGCCTACCCAGTACACAATGACCAAATACCATCAGTCTTAGAACATGAAGACCAGTGTCTTCTGTATGCACAGTGACTTAGCTTGTTAGAAAATGTATCTGAGTCAACAGACATTGTAAGGCACTACCGTATATAATGGGTATATTGTTATAGGCTACCTCACTGCAGTAAGCTTAAGTAGCACTATATAAGATGGCAGTTGTGCGGCAAATAGAACAGGTTGTACTGGCCCAGGTGTCTTCATGGTTTCCATAGGTTTAAGCAGACTTTACATTTCCTGTGGGGCAACTTTCCTCCTAATGAACTAGAAGGCTTTATTAGTCATAAATCCTTTTACTAACAGACTAGTAGATATCTGAATAATATTTAACTGCACCCACGATGTTACTAATCATCTTGTGTGTAATGGCATGTCTGCCTTTCTGTATTATGGACATTTTGTGGTCCAGAGGCGAGAGAGTTATCAGAGTAGATACACTTTCCAATTGTCAGCCCTGATGGGGCCCACAACAGAAAAAAAATAAAGACCATTGTTTCACACTATAAAATATTGATTTGGAGAATATAAAGTATGCAGAAAAGCGAGGAAATAAGTCCATAAGAACGACTGTCTTTCACTAACCAAAATGTTAACCACCTGGCTTTAATTTATAGTGAAAAATATTGATTTAAAATGGGGGGGGGAGAATCAGAAATGTAATGGGGAATATGCTGATTTTGTCTTGGTATACGCAAAGTTGGTTATGGTAAAGGCGCATTTGCAGTGAGCTTTGAGATTTAAAGAAATGAAATTCTGACTCGTTTTTGAAGTTTAATGCATCAAGCCATTTTAGAAAGTTATTTGTAAGAGAGAAAACTAGCGGTGCTGGTGGGCTCTAGTTTGACACTTTTTGAGCAATGTAATTTCATAAATATGGGCACCTGCTGTTTAAGGTCTGCATTTGAATAGTGTTCATAAAGGTGAAGCTAAAGGAGTATTTAATCAGGGAAAGGTGGACATCATTAGTTTATGCCATTTCTTCTCCGTAAATAGATTTTAATTACAATAACAGCTTCCAGATTTTTTTTTCACTATCTTTAAGCAGGTTTGCTCTGTTTTATAATTTAAAGCTTCTTGAAATTGAGGCGGGCTAAAGGACTAGCCTAGATTATCCCATTGAGACCTACATGGTATATATCGAGGAAGACATTTTTGAACAGGATTATTGTATTATACTGCAAAATAGGGAATTACTGTGGAAGACCTAAAACTTGAGCTAGCTGAATGTTCTTATAGCTGACTTAAAGGAGATGGCATTTTAAAAAATATTTCTCACAAGTTCAGGTTAACCCACAAGTTATATTGTACATTGTTTATTGCATTTTAGTCAAGGTGACTCTTTGATAATACACAGCTGCCAATAGGAAAAGTGAATTGACTGTTACTCCCTGTGATGGTGCCATGTAAGAACTTCCATGTTATCTCCTGATTTCCAGTATTGGCAAGAAACCGTCTAAATGACAGTGTGTTTGTTCAAGTTATTGACCTGAAAAATTATTTTTTTCCATTATTAAAACATTTTGGATGCAGGTTTGAAATGCTGATACCACACAAATGAATCTGACGTTTGCTATAAGGAATTCAGAAAAATAAGGCCCACAAAACCTTCTTAGATACTACTGGAACAGGGAAAGACAGCCTTTTCTGCCTTTTTTTCAGCTGAATCTTTCTCTTGTTTTCATAGCATGTGGTCGCATTGACATGTCTGTTATATATAGTCTCTCTAATAGGACATGTCCTAAATTCTCAAGGTGAGTTGGTTCAATAAAATGTTCTTTCTCTTCCCTCTGTTAGGTTATTTACTTTCTAGAAGAGAGGGACAAGCAGGGTCCCCTGAAAAGCCGCTGTCTGATCTGGGTCGTCTCTCATACTTAGCCTACTGGAAAAGCGTCATATTAGAATACCTTTATTGCCACCATGAAAAACATATCAGCATCAAGGGAATGAGCCGAGCCACTGGAATGTGTCCACATGATATTGCTACAACCCTGCAGCAGCACAGCATGATAGACAGGAGGGAAGACAGGTCAGTAAAGCATATGCTATTTGGAGAGTACTTATGAAGACAAAAATATTCATTGTAGCAATACTCATTGAGAGTACACCTTTTATCATAGGAAAAAACTAGTGTACTTTGCATAGACTTTTATGAAGGCTTAATGGTGATAGTCACTGCCTTAGAAGGGACTGCCAACTTGAAAATCTAGCCAACACCTGTTTTGAAATTGAAGGTAGTTTCAGATAGCATACCCACGCCAGAGTCCCCTCACTAATTTTCATTGTTTTACAATCATGTTTTCCTCGTCCCTCCCTCCCCGCCCACCAAAAAAAAAAAAAGATTTTCTCCTCTTATTACTGTGTGAAAGACGCACAAACAAGGGAACCTAACTGACAATATACAAGTTCAGGCAGATGCACAGAGAAAGCAAAACAGTAGAATATTTTTCTTTATTTGCTTTCATTTATAGAAATTTTTAATAGCGCTTGTAACATTAGTAGATTTTTAAAGTTGACAGGGTCCTTTTTTACATGTCTCTTTTTATTAATATACTTTATTGAAAAAATTTAGATTTAGCATTTAGGGTGGAATTATCAAAAGGCCTAACTGATTTAAGACACAGGTCTTATTAATTTTCAGTGGAATCTGTGCTTCCATGTCTCATGAGCCTGGTCTCCATTTTAGATCGACTTAACTGCATCACTCAGGGATGTAAAAAATCCAGAGCCTTGAGTGACATAACTATGCTGACCTGACCCCCCCCCCCCCCCCCCCCCCCCGGCGTAGACGCAGCTAGGTCAATGAAAGAATGCTTCTGTTAACTTAGCTACAGTCGTTTGGAGAAGTGGTGTTCCTACACAGATAGAAAAAACCTTTCCATTGATGTAGGCTGTATCCACACTATGGGGTTGTGCCAGCATAGCTGTGACACTAGAGCCACGCCGGTATAGGCCTTATAGCGTAAGTAAGCCCTTAAACACTTTTGAAAATTTCATCTTCAGAAACGAAAAGTCTGCAAAATTAGTTGGTGAAGGGACAGTGATTGCTGGGAAAATGTATCATACAAAGCAAGGAAGAAGGCAGTAACTGTGGACTCGATAACACATGTACATTTTGCTGTAGGCAGTATTACCAACCTCAGGCATTAAAAATAAAATCATGAGTCCATCACCAAAATATGAGATTAACTTAAAAATAAGTTTTGGTTTTTTTTAAAAAAAATAAATATTTTTGAGGTTCTTTTTCTTTGCCTTCTGGTTTCTGAGCTGTTAGAGTGCACTCACTTTACAAGCTATTCTCTGCAACTATGATGGCTAGACATTTGATTCTCATGATTCCAGGAGCTGGAGCTTTAAAAATGATCCTAAAATTACAAGACTTGCAATAAAATCACAAAAGTCGGCAGCGCTACATAGGAATTAAGCAGGTGTTCTCCTCCATAGGAGGAGAGCCAATGGTAATATCCTTCATTTTAGCTATTCTCGATCTCTGCCCTTGATTTTGCCAATCTTGATAGGGCGTAATTTAGGATTATAATGTTCTACTTTGCAATGTCAGACACAGCATGTAAGTGCTTTGGAGAGAAGGTTTGTTAAAGGAAGTTAAGAGTTTGCTTGTGCTCGGGAAGGGAACCACGACAGTTCCCAAATATTCTGATGGTTTATATTTTGTCTTGAGAAATATTGTTTTGTATTTTAGGTCACACAATCTCCAACAGTCATGCAGCAAATTAAAATATAACTTACATGAGAACAAACCATGAGATAAAATTCCTTGATTGGGTGGAATGAGTAGGTTAAGGAGGGAGAGTCTCCATGTATATGGTGATGAGTTGGGAGGATCCTTAAGTGTATATTTTTCCATGTTTGGTTTTTGCTGTGGTGCTAAAAATAATGGTATATGCCTCTAGTTTATAAACAGATGCTTCTCGATAAACAGAAATAATCTCACCAATGCCCGATCCTGCAAACACTTCAGCACATGAGTAACTTCAAGCATGTGAATAGTTATGTACTCAGGTGCATTAAATTACTCACATGTGTATGTGTTTGCAGGATCAGTGTGTTGTGTTTTCTGTGTCAGGTTCCAGACTTTTGATTTTGAAACCATAGTTTTGTTGTCTGCACAGCACTGTGCCGTCCTTCCAGAATCCCCTGCACAATGAAAGCAGCATCCATGGGCGACAGTCACAATCAGAGCCCCATTGCACCTGGCACAAACAAATATGAAAGCATGAAGCCAAATTCTCTGCTGGTATATGTGTGATGCAGCTCTGTTGCCTTCACCGGACCTGTGCAGAGAATTTGGCCCACGGTCCCTGCCCCAAACAGCATCCAGATTTTACAAAGCAACCCACAAAGGGTGGGAGAAAGGGATTAAGTCAGATACACGTGGTTTTTATATACATCTACCCATTCAATTTCCCCCCTTCTCCAAATAACTATATATAACTAGATAGATATGAAAAAATACAAGGTGCCAACTGTACCCATCTGCCCTTCAGTTCATTAAGTTTCTTACAGGTATCATGATAGAAGTGGTTCCCAAGGAAAACCAAAGGATTACTTTGCTCTTTAAGTTATCTTAGAAAAGAGAGGATATGGGGAATATGACAGAGTTCTATAAATCATGGCTGATATGGGGAAAGTGAACAGGGAAGTGTTATTTACTCCTTCACATAATACAAGAACTAGGGGTCACACAGTGAAATTAAGAGGCAGCAGGTTTAAAACAAACATCAGGAAGTACTTCTTTCACATAACGCACAGTCAGCCTATGGAACTCATTGCCATGGGTTGTGGTGAAGGCCAAAAGTAAAACTAAGTTCAGAAAAGAATTAGGTAAGATCATGGAAGATAGATCCATCAATGGCTGTTAGCCAGGATGGTCAGGGATGCAACCCCATACTCGTGGTGTCCCTAAACCGCCAAGTGCCAGACGCTGGGGCTAGATGATTGGAGATGGATCACTTGAAATTTCTCTGCTCTGTTCATTCACTCTGAAGCATCTGGCATTGGCCACTGTTGGAAGCCAGGGTACTGGGCTAGATGGATCATTGGTCTGACCCAGTAGGACCATTCTTATGTATTGTTTCTTCTATTAGAATGCCTGTATTTGTAATTTGCTTTCCTGCCCAATCAGATCCTTTTTACAGGACTGATACTCTAGTCACTAACTTTCCCAGTTTTAAGCACCATGGTCCCATGTATATTCTGCTTTGTTCTAATATGTTCTGTATCACAACTGGAGAGAGTTATGGCAGGGATGGGCAAGGTGGCCCTGGGGTCCGTGCTCAGACATCTTCCACATGTTTGTAAACATCTACAGGAGCATTCTCTTTTCTCTCCTTTTCCCTATTTAATCCTGTTAATATCCATCTTTTATCTTCTAAATTATTATACTCATTTTTGTTCTGATAAAAAACACCAACATGAGTGATACTTCTCCTGCATGCATGTAAGATATAATAATGTGTATCTAGCGGTCTCCATCTCCCGCTCTATTTTTACCCAGACCTCTATTTTCCAAAGCAGTTATGCGAGATTTAAGATGTGAGATTGTTTTGTTTTATCTTGATGTTTTTCTAACATCAAAAATCCTTTTTGAATTCTAGATTTGTAATAATTAGAAGGGAAAAACTGATCTCAAGCCACATGGAGAAACTAAAAGCGAATCCACGCGTCAATGAAGTAGACCCTGAAAGTTTGAGATGGACTCCACTGCTTGTTTCTAATGCTGCGGTTTCTGAAGAAGAGAGGGAAGCTGAAAAAGAGGTAACAGCAGACATTGTCTGTCTGAATTCCTTTCCTTTGGATTTCTTCTCCAGTCTTTATCATTAAGTAGTAGGCTGTCTTAAATATAGCATTGTTTAACATTGTCAGATCTTAGTTATGGGGGAAACTGCTTGTGTGAAACACTTCAGCACTAATCAGTTATAACTCAGGGTTTTTGGAGATTGTACAGTAAGTTTTGGAAAATGAATATGAAAACTTAAACTCTGTTTCGCTTGTTATGAAGTTGTATTTACTGCTCCTGAAGTAGTCTAGGAGCATGGAATCAGATCAGATTTGGTGCAGAGCTCAAAGGCCGCAGTGTCAATTGATTCTTTGTGTTTATGAACTTGCTCAAAGTGATCCATGTCAGTGGGCATGTAATGTAGTGCTAAAGGACTTAAATCAATTCGCTGCATCATTAATAGTGCTAAATATCCCATGAAATGCAATCTTCTTTGGTTTGTTATCCTAACTGTTGTAAAGTAGCTACTAGATGATTCAGCTGAAATGTTGTTGCTTGGTTAGGCAGCAGTGCTAATCAGGATTGACTTATTGTAACTCTTTAGCTGAACTTGATATGGCTAATACCGTTTCAGTGACCCATTATTTTAACCCCAACCCTTCAGGCTGAGCGTCTGATGGAACAGGCTAGCTGCTGGGAAAAGGAAGAGCAAGAAATATTCTCCACAAGAACTAATAGTAGGCAATCACCTGCAAAAGTACAATCTAAAAATAAATACTTGCGATCTCCAGAGAGTATGGCAGTGGTTGGAGAGCGAGGGCAATCCACGGAGCAATCTAAAGAAAGCAGTGAGGATGATGAGGGGGATGGGAATCATCAAAGTTCACCTCCACGGCTGACCAAACCACAATCACTGGCCATAAAAAGAAAGGTATGTTACTTTTAGCACTTTCAGTTAAAGTTGTTCAGTGTCCATTACAATCAAACCATGTTTGTCAAAAAGATGTAAAAAAAAAAAAGGCAGGGTTTTTTTCTGTTTACGAGCTTTCCTTAGACTGTTCATTTTTTTATCTAAATTGTTAGCACACTGAGCCCTTTCTAGTTCATAGTTGTTTCCTCGGAAGTTTTGTTTTCCTTTTGACTTTTTTGTATTGTTATGAAAAAATGGATGGCACTAAACATCAGAATTAGAATTTATTTTTAAACTAATGACTGCCCTCTGCTGTTTAGGGTTGGTACTGATTAAACATTTTAATTGGTTCTTCCATACCCTCACTTGGGGTTTTTTTGTCCTTTTGGGATGGAGTCAAATCCATTATTTGTTTTCTCCTGTTACAAGATTAGCAGGATAAGAAGGTCTTTTGCAAGATATGTTAATAAAGCAAATGCATTTTTTAAGAAAAATTTGTTTCTTGAAATATTACATTTCTATTTTCTTATACAGAGCCTTCTTATTCCAAGAACTAAACCCTCTAAATTCTGCTTAAACTTGAGTATTGAATTTTTTTTGCTGAAAATTATGTAATCACATTGAATGTTTAGTAACTTAATTTAAGAACCCATAAATGTTAAGGTACTTGGCTTAATGCATGTATTTACATTGCTTTGGTAAGAATTTACAGATGAGTGTCCCATTGTGTATATTTTGGGTTAGAGAATTTTAAAGTAAATGTGAATCTTTGAGAAATGAATAGGTAACAGTGGAAATAAATCTCATTGAAATTTTAGTTGAACCTGTTCAAACCCTTCTTTTCTACAGCTGCTAAACTGTAACGTTCTTTAATATATTGCTATTATTTACATCAAGTTTGAGACTTGGACTGTTTGTCTTGGCACTGTGCTGTTTATCATTTTCTGCTTGTTTGTTTATAAGCAGCTTCATAATTTTAAGGAACCTGAAATCTAAAAGCGTAAGATGTACATTTGAGTCTTGCAAATGTTTTTAGTGGAATTATGAGATACTAAGTATACAACCAGGTATTTGTAAGCATAAATATTTTATATATTACTATTGTGAATTTTTAGTTATTTAACCAGAGTAAAGGCTGGAAGCCAATCATAAACTGTAGATCTTAATTTTCACCTTCATAGAACAAAGACTGCAGTGTGCATTCTGTCTCAGATGGTACACACTCATTGCTTAACTGTATGGGTTTAGTATATAGCAGTAAAAAATCGAATCTCGATTTAAAAGTGTAACATAAGCTAACTTCTAAATTGATAAATAGATTAGACCATCATAAACGCATTTCACAAAAATTAACTTGTTCTCTATGTACCAAGTCAGCTAACTCCTCCTGGACTCTAACAGTTCATTGTTACATTTTTTGGAATTATTTTTTTTAGAGACCTTTCATCTTGAAAAAGAAAAGGGGTCGTAAACGCAGAAGGGTTAATAGTAGTGTCACAACAGAGACAATTTCTGAAACCACAGAGGTGTTGAATGAGCCCTTTGATCACTCGGATGAAGAGCGGCCCATGCCACAGCTGGAACCTACTTGTGAGATAGATGGGGAAGATGATGACTTAAAGCCTGTGATCAGAAAAGTATTCCAGTATCAACCTGGTAGGCAGAACCAGGTGGAAGAGGAGGACAAAGAGGAGAAAGACAATCATTATAAAAATGATGTTCAGTGTGGAAGTAAGTTGAACATTATTTTTAAACTATGTTAAAGTTAACTTGTCACTTGGGATTCAAAGGCAACACTTGCTTTTGTAGTTAACTAGTCGGTTTGTGACCAGCTTTTCAGAGCTGTTGAAATTTTTACATTTCACGATCAAAATAACATGCATTTTTACTAATGCTCCGTCCCTCTGAGATATGCTTTATGCTATTAGTCCCACTTTATCTGCTTGCTTTGTGTAATAGCTTTAGGCATGTTGCTCTTTTTTCAGTATTTTTAGTGTTTAATTTTTCTGCGCTCTCTCTGTCCTGTTACAGCTTCTTCAGTATATTAACCCCAGTTCATTATTCCTGTTCAGGAGAAAATTAGCAGGTTTTGTTTCAGTTTGGGATATTCATGTATTTACCATTTGGGAAAGAACAAAAATGTAATCTTGTATATCTACAACAGGCCTCCTCATACTTTTCCAGGAAAAACCAGGGGATTTCTTTCTCTTTAGTTTGTTTCATGAAACCTTTATCTACAAAAAGCAGGAGGTAGTTGATACGGAAGACTTTTTTTTTTGCACTCAGTATTGACAGCAATTTAGTTATGAGAACTACTGAAATTTGCATAGTTCTCCAGGAACTATGTCCTCTTCACTTTAGTTTGGCAGTTCTGCAATGCTATATTAATAAACTCTGAGACCTCACATTCTTCCACCATGAGCATCCAGAGACTTCCCTTTCCATCTTTCAAAATAGCCTGGGTCTGTTTAAGCCCTGGCACAACTGCCAAGTCCCGGATTCTTCTGTTGATTTGTAGGGAGATGTTTGGTTCTAGGATCCCGGGTCTTCCCTAAAAAGTGCACAACAATTTATGTAATGCACATTTTAACAGCTGCTCACCAAGTTAGATTTCAAGGATATTGCCCAGCTGGAAAGCTAAAGGATGTAAAGTGTATTCACCAATGAGCAGTTTTGGGAAAATCCTCATCTCTCTCCCTCTTGACTCTCAGATGAAAACATCAGTTTAATTCCAATTTTGGAATGAATTATGGATTCTTACATATAAACACTTTTTTCTCAAAAACTGCAGGTATCTCTTTGGTACTGGAGAACTAATAGTTCTCAGGACATGTCGGGAAGTTAAATTTTTGTGTTGCCCAACTGAGAGATCATCTGCTGATGCCTGGTTCGCACACAGCTTTTGTACTGGTATAACCATGTTGGTTAGGGGTGTGATAGTCTACCAATATAGTTACACCAGTACAACCCCTAGTGTAGATGCCGTTTTACCGGTGTAAAGGTGCCTTATACTGGTATAGTTTATCCCCCTTCCTGTACAGAAATAAATTGTACTGTTGTAAGCACACTGATATTGATAAAATTGCATCCACAGTAGTGGGGTTGTACTGCTTTAACTATACTGGTATTTGTGTATAGATGAGGCTTAAGAGTCTAGTTATCACATCAACCAACAGTTGCAATGTGTTTGGAGTAACCCTTTCAGTGGGAGGTCGTATTTAAGAGTGTAACACTTTTTCTGAAGCTGTGTCTTTCAAGGCAGTGGTATTCAACACCAAAATACATTTCTTCCTAATTGTTTTTGTGATTAATTGAATTGTTTTTTTTAATTTCGTCTCTGCTTTCGATTTTATTTAGTTCTGTTTCAGAATGTGTTTTTGCATGGAATCTCCCCCCACATTTTGGTTTGTATTGCAAGACACTTCTTGTGAGGAGGAAAAATTATTTTCCTTTTTCAGCATTGGAGCAATAATTTATGTGCATCAAACTCAGCATAGTACTTCCTAGAGTTAAAGCACCTTTGAGTATCCAGCAGCTGTATCATTTCTGCAGTAACAAAAAGGGTGTAGTAATGCATTCCATATCTAGATAATGAGAATTGATATCCATGTTTTATAAAAGTACATATTACTGTATAAAGGGGTGCATGTATGTGAGCTCTTGTGTGTAAAAATCTCTCTGGGGTTGGTTTATCTCACTAGTGGGAGAGATTAACAATTGTAAACTTTGTAGCATTCTGTTTTATTCTGAAAACTAGCTCTGTATTCTATTTGTCCACCACATTTTATAAATACCACAAGGTGAGGAGATAGTTCATATTAAATAAAAGGTTTGTAGGGTACATTTTCTGTAGTTTAAAAATGTTTTTTGCTTAAAATTCTTTCAGGAAGTATCAGATGGCATTTTTAAATACATATATAGTTATGAGGCTAACTGTTATAGTGCTACAAATAAGGTATCTGTCTACATTTATTCAGCTAGTATGCTATAATGTTTAAAACTCTTGTGCAGTTTTACTGAGTGGGAAGCAGTGGGTGTATAGTAAATATTGCCCCTACTTACTGTCGTGTGTGGTTAGATTAAGAGTATCTATTTATTGGCAGTATAACTTTTGTTTAATTATCCAAAGTTTTGTTTAAAAAGAATGTATAAGTTAATTTTGGATTAATGAGTTCTGTCTGTTGATGGAAATGGATTTGTTTATGCAAACTAAGACCTTTTTTTCTTTTCTCTATTCTCTGCTTCCCAAAGACAACACAGAGGATGTAGCTGTCTTGGAAGAAAGCACTAAAGACAATCCTGAACCTTTGAGGTGTAAACAGGGCTGGCCCAAAGGAGTGAAGCGTGGTCCATCTAAGTGGCGGCAGAACAAAGAAAGAAAGCCTGGTTTTAAACTTAATTTATACACCCCACCTGAGACTCCTATGGAGCCTGACTACCAGGTAATAGTAGAGGAACAGAAGCAAGTATCTGAAGACAAGCCCTGCCAAGTTCCTGCTATTGCAGAGGAGGAGATTAAAGAGCCTGTTAAGAATTTGCAGCCTCAAGATGAGGTAAAAGAGCTGGAACCTGAGCTTCTAAACCCACCCAATGAACCCTTTGAAATCATAGAAAATGATCTAATGAAAGTAGAGGAAGAAGAAAAAAATGTAGAGGAAGATGTTGCCAGTGCAAAAAATCAAGATGACCCACAGAAGGAAATGTGCGCTCAAAAAGATGAGCCTGAGCATTTGGATGATCATGAAGAGGAGGAAGAAGAAGAGGAAGAACCATCTCACAATGAGGATCATGATGCAGATGATGAAGATGATAGCCATATGGGTTCAACAGAAGTGGAGAAAGAGGAGTTACCAGGAGAAGCCTTCAAAGAAGTTCTAGACAACCAGGAGTCTTTTTTAGACTTAAATGTACAAACTGGTAATTCAAATCAAGAGGACTTAATGGACTGTGGTGTTGACCTTGCAGCTGAGTGTGAAGGTGACCATAAAGAGCTTACTGAAGATTCGGGGCCTGTACCTGAATCTGATGATGATCATACAGATAATAATCAGGACCAAAAGGAGAGTGAAGGGTTAAATTCTGATTTCAAGGAAGAAAGTACTGAAACCATGGAGATTGATTCAGAGACAGTACAAGCAGTCCAGTCTCTAACCCAGGAAACAAGTGAACAGGAAGATGCATTTCAGGACTGTTCAGAGACGCAAGAGGCATGTAGAAGCCTGCAGAATTATACTCATACTGATCAAAGTCCACAAATGACCACACTGGATGATTGCCAACAATCTGACCACAGTAGCCCAGTCTCATCTGTCCATTCTCATCCTAGCCAGTCAGTTCGTTCTGTTAATAGTCCAAACGTTCCTCCATTAGAGAACAGTTATGCTCAAATCAGCCCAGATCAAAGTGCCATCTCTGTGCCATCTTTACAGAACATGGAGACCAGCCCAATGATGGATGTCCCATCAGTTTCTGATCATTCACAACAAGTTGTGGATAGTGGGTTTAGTGATCTAGGAAGCATCGAGAGCACAACGGAAAACTATGAAAACCCAAGCAGTTATGATTCTACAATGGGAAGTAGCATCTGTGGAAACAACTCTTCCCAAAACAGTTGCTCGTATAGCAACCTTACATCTAGTAACCTAACACAGAGTAGCTGTGCCGTGACGCAGCAAATGTCTAATATTAATGGAAGCTGCAGTATGATGCAACAAACCAACATCAATTCTCCTCCTACCTGTAATGTAAAATCTCCTCAAGGCTGTGTTGTTGAAAGGCCACCGAGCAGCAACCAACAGTTATCTCAGTGCAGCATGGCTGCTAATTTTACACCACCTATGCAGTTAACTGAAATCCCAGAGACTGGCAATGCCAACATTGGCCTATATGAAAGAATGGGTCAGAGTGAATTTGGAGCAGGGCATTACCCACAGCCATCTGCTACCTTTAGCCTTGCCAAACTGCAACAGTTAACTAACACACTTATGGATCATTCATTGCCTTACAGCCATTCAGCTGCTGTAACTTCCTATGCAAACAGTGCCTCTTTGTCCACACCCTTAAGTAACACAGGGCTTGTTCAGCTTTCTCAGTCTCCACACACTGTTCCTGGAGGACCCCAAGCACAGGCTACTATGACCCCACCCCCTAATCTTACTCCACCTCCCATGAATTTGCCTCCTCCCCTTTTGCAGCGTAACATGGCAGCATCAAATATTGGAATATCCCATACCCAAAGACTGCAAACTCAGATGGCTGGCAAAGGCCATGTGTCTGTGAGAACCAAATCAGCCCCTCTGCCCCCAGCGGCAGCAGCCCATCAGTCACAAATCTATGGGCGTGCTTCACAGACTGTGGCTATGCAAGGACCCGCACGGACCTTAACGATGCAACGTGGTATGAATATGAGTGTAAATTTGATGCCAGCCCCCGCTTATAATGTCAATTCAGTGAACATGAATATGAACACCCTTAATGCTATGAATGGATATAGTATGTCCCAGCCCATGATGAACAGCGGATATCATAGTAACCATGGATATATGAATCAAACACCCCAGTACCCTATGCAGATGCAGATGGGAATGATGGGAACTCAGCCATATGCACAGCAACCAATGCAGACAACACCACACAGTAACATGATGTACACTCCTCCAGGGCATCATGGCTACATGAATACTGGCATGTCTAAACAGTCTCTTAATGGATCCTACATGAGAAGGTAGGCTCTTTGGAGAGTCAGATTACCAAACTGGCGTATTGGATTGATCTGCACAAATAGGAGAGTACGATTTCAAAACCAGCAATTGGTGTGAATGCAAAAACATTTGTTGGCACCATGTTAAAAGCTGTATGCAGCAGAAAGCCTTATACAAGTTTGTTTTTTCTTTTTCTTTTTTCTTTTCTTGTTTTGGGGGGGGGTACCTCTCTTTGTTGTTGATTTTGTTTTAGGGGGATGGGATTGGGTTTTTTTTGTTTTGTTTTGTTTGTTTTTTTTAATTTTAACTGAAGTTCTCTGGAAAGGAAGAATTCTTTATACGAACTGCAATTACACAGCAGCCAATGGTTCAGAGCCATTTTATGTGCCTGCTCCCATTAAAAATGTGGATACATAGACTCCAAAACTTAGTACTGGACCCTGAGATTTCTCTCCACTTTCCCCCACATGTAAATGCCTTTTAGCATTTCATTTATTGTACATTTTGTTTCTTAAGGTGACACTTCCGCATGCCGCTAATGTCTTTGTTAGTGACAGTGCATTTTGTAGTACTGTACAAGTGTTGTGCTTAACAGTAAGCCATTTCTTAAGTTTTTTGCCTTGATTAGGTTACCCTAATTTGAGGGTAAAAAAACAAAACTATATTTTTGTTAATTATAAAACTTGTAAAAATAAAAAAAACTGTAAAAGCTATTCACATTTTTGTTAGTTCAAAGGGTTTTATTGCTAAATGTTTGGTGTAAAGTTGAGACTCTTTTCCATTTTTGGTGACCGACTTCTGTTGTTTTTTTTGGGGGGGGGGAATAAAAAGGCAGCTTTCTGTTTTATAATTTCAGACTTTTTTTGACTGAATGAAGCATATCTCAGTGTTTATTTGTCATGTTTTGAAACATTTTCACATATGTCCAAATACTTGGCAGGATTTTAAAAAATCGTGAATTTGGTGTAAAGTTGCTATTTTATGGAAATGCCTCTAACTTTACATTTTCATTCCATCTGTAGATTTTTCTATCTTTATAAAATATTGAAGTTATTTTTTAAGGGAAAAAAAATAGAGCAGTAGCGTGTGAATAGTTCAAACTAAGCTTACAGATCGCATGTAAAAAGGCAAAAGTTATGTGTCTGTTTATATTGCTTCCTTTTTTGTAGCCTTTGTACCTGTACAGAGTGACTGTAAGGGCCGAGCAGAAGAGGCTTGATACATGTGTAAAATAGGACCCAGTGACACTCTTGTATTTATCTGTTATCTTTTTAGTCAGTCACTTAAAAAAAAGAAAAAAAACAACAACCCCAAGCTGTACATTTTAACATAAAATAAATTATGATGAGCCATTTTTAGCCTCTTGTGTTTGTCATAGTCTGATGTTGCATGGGAAATTATCACTTTGCCTTACCGTGTTCTTTACAGATCTCTCTGACTAGGGGGCCTGATCCAAAGCATCTTAAAGTCAATGGGTTTTGGATTAGGCCTTTAAAGGTTAAATGTAGATTACACTTCACAACTGCGTATACTTTGTGAAAATAAAAATATCTAGGATAATTTAAAAAAACTTGAATAAAACAAAATATTGAATAATTACATATATAAAACATTACAAAAAATTAATATGTAATTAATGTGAAGAGCTTTCCTTTCAAAAAAAAAAAAAAGTCGTTACTTTGTTAAAAGGCTCTTTTATTGTAGTGTACACAATGTTGGTGCTGAGCTGTCTCTCAATAGTAACGCTGCGTTCCCTTTGTCCTTTTGACTATTATCTTCAATGCAGAGTTATCCAGATTCCAAGATGTTTTGTACATCCAGAATTTAACTTTCCGCACAGTTTTGCATATTTAAACAACTTTGTCCTGGCAATTGTAGATATATAAAAATTGAAAATGTCTCATAAATACAGTCATCATGAAATGTGTCTGTCAAATCTAGGTCAGGTCCATGTGAAACAAAACCACAAAAAGAAATATCCTTATGAGAATTTCTAAAAATGTTTCTACACTTAAAGCTGATATTGACTTTTTTTTCATAATTTCAGTTTTAAAACATGGTAGACGTAATAAAAGCATCAGCCATCTTAATTCATCCTTGAAAAACATATATAAAAGAAGCTTCATAGGTGGGCATCTAACTGCTCAAAAGTCAGAAATGTGTGTATTACTTAACAAAAACAACACACCTTAATACGTATGTCCAGTGTGGTCAGATTAAGGCCCTGGTCTTGCAGGCTCTTACACATGTGAGTATCTTTATATGTTTAAGCCATCCCATTTGAATTTGATGGGGCTACTCGTGTGACGTAACTTCACACATGTAGGTGTGTGTATGAACAGGGGCTACAGTGGTTGTGAGAATCATAACTTTGAACCCCTGCCTCTTGGGAGTTTCAACTGTCAACCAGAATGCTGCATTAAGGGCATGATTCTGCAAAGACTTATGCACATGCTTAACTTTATACACTCTGAATAGTCCTGTTGAAACCAGTGGGACTATGAATAGTTCATAAAGCTAAACACCTGCCTACATCTTTGCAAGAGCAGCATCTGCCATAATGTTTTTGCCATAGCCTCTTTATTTTTAGGGAAATACAACAAAGAGAAAGAGAAATTAAGAAAACACTGCTTATTTCAATGTGTGATGGGAGATTAACATGTGCAGGATTTTGTGTGTGTGTGAATTTCTAAACTAGAGCTCTGCAGCTCTGTGTGGTAAATGTTTGCACATTGAAATAGAAGCAGCATATTATGTGACTTGTATTTGTATATTTAGATGAAATCAAAAATAAAGACAACTGGGCCTTACCCACTTCTGTGGGGCTCCAGTTTTACAGCACTGTAACTCATTGGCATGCCAGGTCCATCTATTGTTTTAGTGTGTGGTGCTCTGGCCCTGAGCATGCTGAGTCTCGAATATTGCTAGAACTTAGCATAGTAATATATGATTGAAAGTTTCATGGAAAATTGTGTACTGTGTGCACACAATAAATACTTTTCAAATACTTAATTTCAAAAACAAATTACTTTCAGAAGGACAAATGCTTTTGACATCTTTTGAGTTCTTCATTTATGACATTTATATGCTGACAACTCAGCTTTGTAAAACTCTCCTATCTTCCTAAACAGATCTGCTCCCTATGTAGATTAGGTATCACTCACCTCTGCTCACTTTAGTAACAAAGAAGTTTTCACTTTCTTTTACTCCTGTTATCCCTGCAGAACCAACATAGCAAAGAGAATATCAGCTGGATTCTCTTCCATTGAGTGGATCAACAGAATTATTTGCTGACTTGTAATCTGCATTCCCTGTGGAGATCATGAGTTTTGCACAAATGCTACTGTAGGAATAATTGGAAGAACATGGGGTTGCTAGAGTGTGAAGAGGGCCTAGTTAGGATAGCAGAACCTTTTATTATGGCTGGTGGTGCGAAAGATGGAAAGAACCCGCCTGACTCTGAACCTCTGGCGAGTTTGCATGGCTGGCACTTAGGTCAGATCTACACTCTCAGCTTGTGCTAGAAAAGTTATGTTGGTCAGAAGTATAAGGTGTGATCCCTGATTGACAGAGCTGTAAATAGTGTAGATGCAGTTATACTGGCAAAACTGCCTTTGCCAGTATAGCTTATTTTGCTGTGGGAGTGGGGGCTGGAATAAGCTATACAGCAAAATGCTCCTAGTGTGGCCAAATATGTCATTTGTAAACCGAGCCCACTTGACGTGCAAGCCATTAAATCCCAATGCACTGAAACACCACTCTCCCCAAGATGCCAGTTTTGCTCAGTCTTTTGTCAGTCAATCACTGGTAAGTGATTAGCACTGCACATTAAGTTTGGGTTAGTTTAACCAAATTAGGAAGACCCAACCTGCGAGCTAATCCTGTTGGAAGGATTGTAATATCAACAGAAAGCAGATATTGTGTAATCACTCCCAGACACAAAAGCTTTTAATAATCTCACTGTCCCTAAATCTGCACATAATGAGTTTTTACCAGTAAATTAACTAGCTGTCAACCAGATTGGCTGATGCAAAACTCCATTTGGTATATTATGCATATATAGATAATGAGAATGGTGACAGTGGAATAATCCAGCAAACTGCTATATTAAGGGAGGGGTCACCCTGCTGCATTTACATATGAATTTACCTATGAATTTACATATTACTGATACAAAAACGGATAACTGATGCAGCAAAGGTCTTTTGATTGATTGTTTTTACACATAGGGAGCATATGTGTGTCTAGTAAATCCATTATTATAGTGATTATTGGGAACTGGATGGCTTGGGGGATTTGTAATGGCAGATGAAGACTTCCCCTCTCTCAGTGCAAATGAAGCCCAGATCAGTAATGATCAAGACGGTCAGGAAGCAGGAGGGTTTTGTGGCTAATGTGCAGAATGAGGTTTTATTTCTGGCTGTGCCAGAATCTTTGTATGTAAATTTGGCAAGTCACTTAGCCTCTTTGTGTCTCATTTCCCCCTCACTAAAATAGGGATAGTGAGCGATAAGCTTGAATAACTCATGTTTGTAAAAGCACATTGAGATACTCTGATGGAAGGTGCTATAGAAAAAGCATTTTCTGTTGCGTGGTTGCCACTGCTGCAGACTATTGGCATAGTCCTTTTTCATTGTCAGGCAGGTGGCAACCAATCATGATACAGCAAAACACCTGTCCTGCATCAGGATACTGGATGTTTGTTTCTTTCTCAGCCAGTTTGCTTCCTACCTCTTATTATGATTATTTATATGTATTCTCACAGTACCTTGGAGCCCCAGTCATGGCCCATTGTGCTAGGTGCTGTACAAACACAGAACAGAAAGATCCAACGAGCTTACAATCCAAGAATAAGACAAGAGACAGCCGATGGAGGAAGACAGATGGGGAGTACATGGAAACAATGAGACAATATTGTCTAACTGGACAAGACAGGTGGGGGAAGGGCAATAACACACCAGCAGCGTGACCAGTGTGATGGTGGCAAACATGATGTTAGTTCCGCAGGTGTTAGGGTGTTTTTTAAATGGGTGGCTTTACATAGGAGGAGTTGAGCTAAATGGAAAGAAAAGGGAGTGGGGGGGCAGAGGGGAGAGTAAGGCAGGGTAGGTATGGAATAAAACTGGTGAAGAGGCTGTGGGGGTTGGAGTTGGAGCAAACAGCCAGTCAGCAGGGCAGAGACAACTTCTACAGGTTTGACTGGACTGTCCAGAGTACCTTGAGTTGGCTGTTCCTGCTCCTGCCAGCTGGAAACTCTGGCTGGCTACTCTCTGCACCATTTTTTATAATCCCTTCCCTTTCCCACACCCTTGTTAGGATGATGATGATTTTTCATTCTTTTTGTGCCGAACGTTGTATTGATTTTACTCACTGGACCAAGCACTAGTTTCCTAGGGAGCAGCACCCAGAAGAGTCCTCTTAGACGGAGAACAACCAACTTGGCCCTTCCTGTGATATTTTTAGAGCCCTCAAGGTATTGGACTCTAATCAGTTCCTTTCAGGAGAACTTGTTTTTATCTTTATGGTACGATGGCAACTTGCAGATTCCTAATAGGCAAATGGCTCAGATCCTGTGTTTTGCAAGCTGATCAGTTTGCTAATAGGGGAAAACAGAGAATTGGTCTGCAAGACTGCCATGTGGCAGTCCCTTCCCACTATTAGCAACCACTGTAGCAGGGGGACTCAGCTATATTCCTAGCATGGGCCACATTTTAATACATGGACTCTTCTCCTCCCATTGACTATGGAAGAACATCCCTGAGGTAAGTACAGCAATTGCTTATATTGGAAAGTAATCTTATGGAAATATTTAAG